GTATGGTATGGTATGGTATGGTATGGTATGGTATGGTATGGTACGGCATGGTATGGGATGTATGGGATGGTACGGTATAGTACTGTATGGTACGGTATGGGATGGTACGGTATGGTATGGTAAGGTACGGTATGGTATGGTACGGTATGGTATGGTATGGTATGGTATGGTAGCATGGTACAGTGCGGTATGGTGCAGTACGGTCCTGTGCAGTACGGTGTGGGGCAGTATGGTATGATATGGTATGGTTTGGTATGGTATGGAACGGTATTGTGTGGTGTGGTGTTGGGCAGTGGTTTCAAACTCATTTTATATTCAGTCACTTCAACATCATTAGGTCTTTAAAGGGCCAGGTGCAGCTTTATATGGAAAGAAAATGCATACTATTATTTTATAACTTTACCCCTCATTATTTTACTGTTTTTCTTACTTTGTACATTTACAAGAACATGCCTTTTTTTACTCATAAGGGCCTGATAAATTATTATAGGCTGGATTTAGCCTGTGGGACTTGAGTTTAACACACTGTATTTTGGATTTTAACTCTACCGCCCTGACATTATCCTTCATTTGTTTATATTTTGCTTAGAAAATGAGATGGGCTACTAAGGCTTACAATTAGGACTAGTGAGTTCTAGTGTGGTTAAACTGATCAGCTCCTGTGGTTGGGAATGAATGAAACATCTCCATGGCCAGTTGAATAAAGTATCTCTAGAAAATTCCTTTATTCTCTCACAGTGGGGAAATTGTGTTGTTACATCAGCAGCAAAATGTTGTAGCAGAAGTGGTGACACAATGTGATAACTATGACAAAGTCCTCAGGGAACTTCTGGAGGTGGCAGTGTGGGGAGTTGATGGAGAACCCTGTAGAGTAGAGGGTGAAGAGGAACGGTACCAGCACTGTTCCCTTTGGGACCCCTGTACTGCAGACCAACCTGTCTGAGACACGGCTCTGTGTCCTCACATACTGTGAGCAGACAGTGAGGTAGTACAAAATCCACAGGGACATGTGCTGGTCCACTCATGACAGCTCCAGCTTATGCTGTAGGAGTCCTGGCTGGATGGTGTTGAAAGCACTGGAGAAATCAAAGAACATAATCGTCACAGTGCTTCCAAATTTCTCAAGATGAGTAAGTCCTTCGTGCAGAAGGAAGATGATGGCATAATCTGCCCCAGTCCCCGGCTGTTAGGCTAACTGAGGTGGATCCAAAGAAGTCTTCACCAGGGGGCGTAGATGGTGTAAGACTAACTGTTCGAGGGTCTTTATTCAATTCAATTCAGTTTATTTATATAGTGCCAATTCACAATACATGTCATCTCAAGGTACTTTACAGTTCACCAGATGAGAAAAAGTATAACATTAGAGATTGAACTAACAGATTCTACAGAGTGTGAGAATAGAGATAGAATGAAGCAGAATGATGAAATAGGGGTCCCTATGTCCTCCAGCAGTCTAAGCCTATAGCAGCACAATTATAGAGATAGCTCAGCTGAGCTGAGGCACTCTAACTATAAGCTTTATCAAAAAGGAAAGTTTTGTCTCAGTCTGTCTCATGGACTAAAACTGGTAGTTGGTTACACAGGAGAGGAGCCTGATAACTAAAAGATCTGCCTCCTATTCTACTTTTAGAAATTCTAGGAACCACTAGTAAACCTGCAGATTGAGAGTGAAGTGCTCTGTTAGGAACATAAGGAACAATCAGATCTCTGATATAAGATGGCGCTTGGCCATTTAAGGCCAAGGCTTTATATGTGAGGAGGATTTTAAATTCTATTCTGTATTTAATGGGACGCCATTGAATAGAATCTAGGACAGGAGAGATATGATCTCTCTTTTTAATTTTCATCAGGACTCTGGCTGCAGCATTTTGGATCAGCTGAAGGCTTTTAACTACAGTTTGTGGACTTCCTGATATTAAAGACTTACAATAGTCCAGCCTTGAAGTAACAAATTCATGGACTAGTTTCTCAGCATCACCCCTGGACAAAAACCTCTTTGGTATAATATTTAAATGAAACCAAGATTTCTTACTTTATTATCTGAAATCAGTTTAATCCCATCCAAATGAAGTGACTGACTGATCAGCTTCTTTTTCAAAGACTCTGGTCCAAAGACTATAACTTCAGTTTTGTCTGCATTCAGGAGCAGAAAGTTGAGAGCCATCCAGGTTTTTATGTCTTCAAGACATGCCTGTAATTTATGTAATGGGTTAGCTTCATTTGGATTTATAGACAGATATAGCTGGGTATTGTGGAGTAAAAATTGAGCACTGAGAGTAAGAAGAAAAGGTTTTATTTTCTTTGCAAAGGAAATCACAGAACAAGCTGGACACAGCTCCCAATGTGATTCTGAAGCATTCAGAATCACACCCCTCCATTTAAGAAGAACCCACAGCATACACACACATGAACATTGAATCTTCCCAAGGGTAAAACTTCATCAAAAGACATAAATATACTTTTGGATAAACATTCCAGACAACTGCTTTCTGTTCTTACCAGAGACAGGACGGGATAACATATACCGGTATTTTAACCATAGCTTATTTCAACTCCTTATTTCTCGTGACCTTTCCTTCACCCATGTCTAGAGTAGGGAGGGAAGGCGCCTGTTTTCTGTCCCCCTAAACACCATAACATAGTGAATGGTACAGGATCTCACTATCATTACCTCTGTTCGAACATTTTATCACACAAAATAAGCAAAGGAAAAACCTTGATTCCACAGTATCATCAGCATAACAGTGGAAATGAAACCAATGCTGTCTAATAACTCTACCGATTGGGAGCATATATATAGTAAAGAGAATTGGTCCTAGCACTGATCCCTGTGGTACTCCACAGGTAACCTTTGAGCATGAGAGGCTAAGGGTTCTCCTAGATCTA